CACACACACACACACACACACACACACACACACACACACACACACACACACACACACACACATATATATATATATATATAAAGTTAAAAGAAAGTCCTATTTGTTATTTTTATTTATTTTAAAATGTTGCAACAGTTTATATCATGCTGTATATTTGATATGATCCAGTAGGGGCTGTAGGCCTATAAGGAAGGACATCTGTTTTAATTAAAAGAAATGTGTTTTTGAAGTCATTGTGTAATGTTTCAGTTCTGACTCAGTAAGTGCTCCATATCAATACTCAGTAACAGCGAGTGCCCAATTTCAAGTATTGTTACTTGCACTCGGTTTGAAGAAAACTGGCAACAGGACACCCCTACTTCGTACCTTATCAGCTGTGACATCAGATATAGAGCGCACAATATGGAGAGAAGGGTGTAAAAAATGTCTGAAAAACAAACAACAAGCCCTCATTTGGCCTATTTTGGATAAAGACTTCTGCACTTTTCTTCATATTGGTTGAAATGGTTAATAAGGTAATAACTAATGTTAACTATCTGATTGAATATAACCTCTAACTAAAACATTAACTAGATTATCCCTTTAAGCTCAACAACTAAAACATAATATTCATTTCATTTGCTTATACACAAACCAAAACATAAAAAATGGGATTACCAAATATCATATTTTTGTATTTCGTTCTTGTTTTGTTCACAGTTTTTGTCCTAAGTCACTAAGTCAGGAATGAGAATAATGATGGTCCTGTCCTGACTCAGAGCTCAGTTTTCCCTCTGCTGTGTTTTGTGCTGTAACAACAAAACTACATTGTCACTGCGGTTGTCCAAAAATCAAGGTGTTGTTTCTCCTGCCAGACGATGGCGAGTGTGAAGACTGTCACTCATCCTGTGAATCCTGTTCTGGACCGGAGAAGAACCAGTGCACAATCTGTGGAAAAGGTCTTTTGGTCACCTCTGATTTTAGACCTGCATTTTAGTGTCACTTTTTCAGAGCCGTGATGTTTACTTGCTGCTCCTCCTCCTCCAGGGCGATTTCTGACTGCGCAGCAAACATGTGCGTCAAAGTGTCCAGCGGGCTTCTTCGCCAGTCGGTTGAGCGGTGTGTGTGAGGCCTGCCCTCAGGGCTGCTTGCAGTGTTCCAGTGCTCAGCGCTGCAGCCGCTGTCAGAGCTTTCCAAAAGCTCTGCTGTTCCTGCAAAATGGGCGGTGTGTTCCAGAGTGTATCAGGTCAGGGGTGAATCTTACTACACGATTTACGTATGCTTCTCTTATGCATTTCAGTTATTTCTTTTTAGTGACTATTGAAAATAAAATCATGTTGATATTGCTTTGATTGAATATATGGTTGCCATCATTATGATTTGTATCATTCATAGTGTCAACTGGTAGTCTTTGCAGAAGTTCCAGCAGCTCTGACTGGACTTAAAAAAATTCTACAAGTGATTTGTAATTTTATTTTTTTATTTTTTACCAAACACTTAAGAGCTTTATAACTGTTTTGTTCAATGTGACCCATCACATCATGATTAAGTCAGATTTGATGAAAATGACCGAAGCACATTTTAAAGGGCCAATACAGTATTATGAGTTTCTCAGGCATACATTTAAATACTTTACCATAATAAAGTGTCTATGTCACCTTTATCAATTATTAAGATGCTGTTTTGATGTTTAAATAGAAAATAAACTTATCTATTAGGAAGTTCGGCTGGAAGCATGTCCAACCATAACATGAATGTATATGGTGCAAATACTATTAAAATAATCAGAACTTGCTCAATTTCCAACCATTTTTCACACAGTTTGGTTTGCTGTAAATGTGAGAGATGCTGTTATAGTATAATAAAACTTTTAATGGACTTTCATATGAAAATAACATTATGCAGGTAGGTAAAGCAATAACAACACACACACAAGATATTTAAATTACATTTAAATGTATTTATAAATGCAAACATAAAGCCAAATTAACATATTTTACATTGCTAAGTTGTTCACATGTTCATAAAAATAGTAGTTAATATGGACCCATTTATTTCCAATTTTTTTCTCCAGACATGCAAATATAATGTGCCTTTTATAATCCTTTCACATAATAAATATAATAGTGCAACATATTTTTGACATATATACAGTACTGTATATCCTACGGGTTCTTGTACGGCTATTAGAGAATCTGTGGGCTGCACAAAAGTCAGGCAGCTTATCCTGGTGCACTTCTGTAAACACAAAGCTAACAAGTTGTTTCTTTTTTTTATTTAACAATTTGTTTCTAACAAACCAACCTGCTTGGAAATCAGGTGCAGATTCAGTTAAGTTGAAATGAAAGAGTTCCTAATCATTTAAAATTGTTGGGTAAACTTTGAAATAGTAGCAAGGTCTCACAGGCCCTTGTTATTGGCCTATTAATAAATAGAATCATTAATATAAGAATTTAAACTCTCAATCATAACTTCTACAAGTAGCTGTGGCACACAACTATGCCACACAATTACATTTTTTAATCTAAAAAAACACAGTTTCAACATATCTAAACACCCCTAAATCCTAGTCACTTTAATGTTTTCAAAAAACAGCTCATTTTCCATCAATATTTCAGTGGCAAGATGGCCACCGTTGGCGATGCTGGAAACTCGGCCTTGAGTCATCTAGCCTTTATCTCATCCTGTGGTTCAAGAGATTTGCCTTGATTTGTTTTCCTAATGAGGATAACCCATTGATATTTAGTCTAAATCCTATTTTTAGCTTGCTCTTATGGGGAATTTGACATTTTAAAGAAGAAACATCAAACAATATATAATATACTGTAAATTGCAAGCTGGAAAGAAAACAACACTTTATAGGTCACAGAGAAAATGACAAATATTTAAGGCTTTTCTGCTCAAAACCTTGTTTTTTGTAGCTACTGCTCAAAACAGGGTAAGCAAAAATAATTTAAGATTATAGTTCATATATTTCATTCATATGACCCATAAATAAGGTTATGTTTTGACAAAATTAAATTGTTTTATTCAGTGCAACATAGCTGCTTATTTCTCCACGTACCACTTTGCGTCTCAATCTTGGGTTTGATGTGATGGGTCCCAAATTATTACCTGTCTTTTTTTTTGTGCAGGGGATAAAAACAACACATCCTTTCATTTGTTTACCCTAGAGGTACAAATAACAGCTTAGTTGAGCATGACATGTCAGAATTTATATATATATATATATATATATATGTACTGTATATATAAGTCCTATTTTTATTACAACTAAAATGAATTGTTATGAGCATCCATTTAATTCCATCAAGAGATGAACTTGAGAAATGCAATTAATGTATATTCGAGCTGCAGAATAAAAGCAAATCATTGTGTAGTGGATGTGCACTTCATCAGTGTGCTGTTCTGGGTACTCGTTTTTATTTATTTATTTGTATTATTTTTCCTCATCAGGGGTTATCCTTTAGGCCAGCTGTGTCACAGTTGTGCACCTGGCTGTGCCTCTTGTGAGATGAATGCCACTCACTGTCTGACCTGTGAAGAGCCTCTCCTCTTTCATAACCATCAGTGTGTGGAGGAGTGTCCTCCAGCAAACATAGTCCAGGGTGGTGAGTGCCATCCAGGGTGCTCGGCGACCTGTCGAGAGTGCAACCCTGCTGGACAGTGCACAGGTACAGTGGAAGAAAACATTTTAATATTTAGGAAATGTTGCGTCATTTTGCCCATTTTATCACTTAACTGGCATGTTTTTAGGTCAAACAGTCAGTGACAACAAAGGGGACCTCAATGAGGTATATTGTCACCCACGCTTCAGAAGATTGACCATGAGCACAACGCCGTAATGAAAGGGGCTGGCTGTCAATGTAAACAATTTATCACGGCTAGATTTTTGTAAAGATACTGGATATGAATATTAGTTTTTTCATAACTTCTGCTTATTAGAAGCATCATTCAATGTAGACATGTGCATTTCTATCAAATAAAAACAATTGTCAGTAGAAAACTGAGTTTCGTTGATGCACTGACCATAATTTAATATGTCATGGTTGTCACCTCACCCTTACCAATATGGCTGCTCTTTCTGACCATGACAAGTCACGTGACAGCCCCTCCAGCCAATGGACCTCCTTGAAAAAATGGAACTTCCTGATGTTTTTTTATTAATATTATTAGAATTCTGACTCTTCTTCTTCTCTCAAAATAATCTAAAAAAAATCTTTGGATTCTTTGCTACTGTCTGTGTTAGCCACCGCAGCAATTCTGCACTTAACAGGCAAGCTTTCCCTTTTGCCATCACTTCCTGTTATTTTGCATGTGAATATGTCAATGCCTGTTTGACAACAAGAGTGAATTTTATTTTTTTGATTGCAATGCATTATTAATGTTATCTATCAAAAATACAATTCAGTTTCAATTGAGTTTCTTTGAATAGTAGTCACAACAAATGTTGACACGTGTCATGTTGTCGCATTGTTTTATTGTACAGTGGTACAAAAAAACCCCAACCAATCAATTTAAGGAAGCCAGCAGACTGTGTTGAATCTTCACTGTATCACAGTCTCCCATCCCAACACATTCTCACTCCTGGCTCGTCAAATATTGACGCTTGTCCAGGTTCCCTCTGCATCTGGTTTTGTTGTGTTGGGCAACCCCCTCGCATCAGTTATTGACACACAGGGCTTTTCTAGGTTCACACCATAGGGTCTTTGGGTTGGGGTCCGTGGTCAATATTGGGGATCAGGATTACTGGTTAGTTTTAGGTAGTGAGGTCAGGGCTAGGATGTCTAGGGCAAATAGAAGTTAAATTTAGGGTCCATTTTAACAGGAAGAAACCTCCCGCAGAACCAGACTCAAGAAGGGCGGCCATCTACCTCAACTGGCTGGGTTTGGGGGGACAGGAAAGAGACACAGAAAAACACAATCATTCATCATAAATACCTTCGTATTTATGGTGAAAATTTTGCATCAAAGACAGTTTAAGCCTTTTCTTTCTCCTGCAGTTGCCTTTGCAGTATTTGTTTCCATATATATTTTTTACTGTGCTACAATAATTTGTGAGTCCATTTAAAAGCAAAAGCTGTTGTTTGTGCAGGTTGCGAGGAATATCACTTTCTCCATGAGGGCCTGTGTGTTGCAAACTGTCCCGAGGGGTTTTTTGAGGACAACGAGGAAGGGGAGTGCGCACGTTGCCATGCTGACTGCGCTTTATGTGACGGCCCAAACGGCGATGACTGCGACGCCTGCATCGACCCTGAGGCCACGCTGCACAATGGGGCCTGTCTGGCACCCTGCCCCTCCCATACGTACAGGGACACCATGACAGGAGAGTGTGAAGGTAGAACAAACAGCACGTGCTGGAAAGGCAACACAAGTTTGCCCGTCTGTTCGGATCATTTGAAACATCCAAGAAAAAAAGTTCCCCTAATTTAAACGATCTCGGAGTATGACAAAGTCGGCTCCATCATTTTTTTTTTTGTAACTTCTGCTGTGTTTTCAGTCCTGTGGAGCACCCTTTGAGCCTTTTCTCATCTCTTTGCCTGAGTGTTCTTCTTGACTTTGGCTCAGACTAAAATAGCAACGCTCCTACGATGGTTAACAGGCAGCTGTCAAATGTTAGAAACTGCACAGTGATGCTAACGACAGTTCCCTAGAGAAAGACACACTGCGTTTGGTTTTGTTTTTCCAAAAAAAGAAAAAAAAAAGAGGATGGTGTGTTTCTTACAGAAAGATGTTGTAAGCAGCGCCTGCTTGAGTTGCTACTGAAAGCAGCTGCTACTTGTGAAATATTTAAAGTAATTGTGTGAATGCCATTAGGCATTCACACTATTGTTTTTGTTTTTCTCTTTATTATTATTGGGTGAATGCCTTTAGGCATTCAACCTATTGTTTTTATGTTTCTCTTTATTATTGGGTGAATGCCATTAGGCATTCACACTATTGTTTTTGTTTTTCTCTTTATTATTATTGGGTGAATGCCTTTAGGCATTCAACCTATTGTTTTTATGTTTCTCTTTATTATTATTATTGGGTGAATGCCTTTAGGC